TATATTGTATGTGTGGTGGTTATCGGCACCAAAATAATAACTAATTGCGAGACAAGTTGAAATTTCAGCCTGGCTTGCTGAGTTCACTTTGAAATGAATGTTTTTTGGATGGTACTGATGTAGCTCTTCGCAGCCCCATCCATCATAGCTGATCCTTACCGTCCTGGGTAGAACGATAAACTTCATCCGCGTCCTGAGTAAGACGATAAATTACATCCGGCAGCAAGGCCTCTGATCAGGAGGATGAGGTTTTGAGGAGCTTGGAACCACTTTATAATTGCTGGTATTCCCAGGTTCACCCGGATCCGGGGTGGTAGCACCTGTTGGGTTCCCAGCTATGAGCAAATAGTTAATCCCCAAGCTGAAGTGAAAACGTGTAAAAATAGGTTTTATTACCAGCAATACATAAAAAAAATATTAGCATCAATGATTTTTTGAAGGAGAAATTTATTATCAACAATACATTATTACCAGCAATAGATTTTTTCGGAAAAAAAATATTACCAACTATACATTTCTGAAAAAAAATATCACCAGCAATACATTTTTGGAAAAAAAGTATTGCCAGCGATATATTTTTGGAAAAAATATTACAGCAATACATTTATACAAAAAAACAAAAAATTACCAGTAATACATTTTGTAAAAAAAAAAAAAAAATTACCAACAATAAAAATCTTGTCGGCATTAAGTAACCCTTTGAGATTGATATGCCGTAAAACGAAGCAAACCAATCGAAGCTGATTGTTACATCGCAAGATAAACTTGGTAAAGAGTCTAAGAGTCTCCGAATTTCAAACATTGGAGGAGGCAAATAAAAACCGCAGGTCAGTTCACAAGTAATAAAGATAAAATACGTAGAAAGCTTTAATCGCCTACATCCAAAACGTACATGGCATTTAAAAAAACATATTTTATACAAGGCCAATACCTGAACAGGCTGATCAACTCGTAAAATATAGCGGAAAAAATTATTGTAGCTTAGCATTTAATAGACATTCAACAAGCCATGACATTTATCAACACAAAAATAAAATTGATTTTTTATCGATTTAGAGAAGAGAACTCTTCATAATATAGAGACAGTGTGAAATCGATATATGACTTTTTATAGAGTTATTGGGTTTAGCTGTTATTTACAAATATCAAGTTATTCTCTGAATTTTTAAAAATTAATTATTTTTTAAATATTTTCCATGAGATATTTTTAAGTACAGGCACAAACTCTGGACGGTAATAATTATTCATCATAAAACGAAAAAAAATTGGATATACTTTTACTATTTTATATATAATTTTGGCCTTTTATTACAATGTATATATTCATTTGTTCTTTATTTAAAATGATTATTTCTGCAAATTAAATAAAACTTAGTTTTTGTCTGCAGAACAATTAAGTTCAGATAACGCAGTAAAATATATTACATTTTCTGCATATATTTCTGCGATGACGTATTGCATTTTTTTTTATTAATAAAAACTGACTTATATTTAATTTGCAGAAAGATGTATTTAAAAATAAGAACGTATATATACATTTTAATCACAGAACAACAATCTACAGAAATGGTTACTGTGACATTAGTTTTATAAGTCCCCAAAATTCATACACAATTGTCCTGGAGGACACATGGCCCAGTGAATAACAGCGTTGGTTGAATCAAGTGACTTAAATCAAAAGTGTTGTGAATTCAATACTTGGAGATGAAAATCATGGAAAGTTGGGCTCAAAGGGAGATAACTAATACTGAGATATCTGGAACAATCTACCTCTGTGGATGAAATAAAGGGTTCGATTCGAAATTTCAATCACTTGAAGTAAGCCGGTGCGTAGAATGGTAGAATCGTCGTAAATGTGGCAGCAAAAAAGACCGAATAGTGTAAACAATTTTACATTTTATTGCTATTATGCACAGGATCCAGTTTCTAAAATGAGAAATATCAATATTTGTTTTCGATTTTGACAAATATCACGCCTTGAGGAAGATCTAGTGAATGCTACTCTACAAAATTCTTTTCGGCAAAATGTTGTCCCCATTTTTTTATGGTTGTACTATTGCTTCTATGTAGTGCCTATTATAGTACAGTACAAAAACACTGAAATATAAATAGTATAATACAATACTACATACGTTATAAAAATCCATAGAAAAAAATCAATGCTGTTCCTTTTAAAATCTGCAATGTGATCATAGTTTTCTGCTACAATGAGTTGCGTGTATCTTAAAAGCATAACATAGAAAACTAGAGAGCATAGCACCCCTGGGCACGTCATCCAATTAGATACAATGGATACATAGGATTCAAAGTCTGTCTGTGCAGCATGTTGGCATTCAAGCTTAGAAAAGAAGTTAGGATTTTGAAACCATTCATTAAATAGAGGGACGGTTTCGTCTTTTGGTCTTTGTTATTTCTGGGGAGTTTTATTTATTGGCGTCTAGAAATAATTATTACTTATTTCCTTGCACCATGCTAAACTAAGCCTATTTAATATCGAATGTATATATTTGCGCTGCAGCAGAAAACTAAAAATTGAAATGGGATGGCTTGCAGTGTGAAGGTGCTTATCTCTCGAAGTGTTTCCATTTACAATGAGTAGTAAATATTTTTCAGCTGCAGTCGGGTTTCTAACGCAGGCCGTCGGAAGAAAATAGGATCTAGAAGAACTGTTAGAATTAAAATCAGAAATACACAGCTGACATGTGTATGACATGTTATAAAGAAAGTGATGGAGGTGACAAAATATCTGAGGTCAAAGAGAGATGGTGAAGTATCAAACGTTGCTCAACACTACAAGAGATAGGAGGCAATGGGTGGCCATTATCGTCTACGTCCTGAAGAAATGCAGCATATAAAAAGTTGATTAGAAGAACGTTATCATCAAAGATATTATGAAGCAGAATTTGAATTAACTGTTGATTCCATTTGAAAAAAAAAAAGGGATTCACAAGCAGCATGCGATTTTAAAATGCTTTTCCGCTGGACACAAAAAAAAAAAGGTTAAAGAAAAAAAAAAATTTTTTTTCGATTCTAACAAGTTGCATTTTAAGGAAGATCTAATGAATGCTACTCTACAAAATTCTTTTCATCAAAATGTCCCCATTTTTTAAGGTTGAACTATTACTTTTATGTGGGGGCTATTATAGTAAAGTACAAAAACACTGAAATGAAAATAGTTTAATATATTACGACATACGTTGTTTGGGTTTCTCATACGGGTTGTTTAACTGTTGATTAAATTTAACAAAAAGGATTCACAAGCGGTTTTTCTTCTTTTTATGTGCCGTGTCCCTTCAGGACGTAGACGATCATGGCTCTCCACTTCCTCCCTATCCCTTGTAGCTCTCAATAAGTTTCGTCCCTATGCCACCTCCATTAGATCACGTTCTGTCATCTACTTGATTAGCCCGCCAGGTATGTCATGCTTTGCTTTCCCTTGTCTTTTTTTTCCTCTATTCACCCTGTGAGAATCAGATTCTCCAGGCCCTCCCTTCTCATTACGTGTCCCCAAAATTTTATCTGCCTCTTCCTAGTGTTAAGTATAAGCTTCCTCATTGTTTGCATCCTCTCCAAAACCTCATGATTGCTTACACGCCCGCTCCATGATATCCATAGCATCCTTCTGTAGAACTATATCTCCGTTGTTTCGAGTCACTTCTTCATCTTCGAGGAGACCATCCAACATTCGCTGCTGTAAAGGAGGACAGATGTCAGGTAGCAACTCTGTATTCTTCGTTACCAAAGAAATCCTCCTGTCTCGCAATACTCTTTTCGTTTTTTAAATGCATTTCCGCCGGACAAAAAAAGGCACTTTGGTAATTTGCTGAATTTCTGGGATAAGGATTTATCATTATTTAAATTATTTACATGCGGAATATTGAAATTTTTGTTGTTATCACACCGCTTCGGCGTTGAAACATTGGTTCTAGTATGATCATCGCAGTTAATCTACGTCGAGGCTGGTCAATACCTAGATGGGTGACAGCTTAGAAATACCAGGTGATGTAAGCTAGGATGTGCGGATCGTGTAATGGATAATGGCTCGGAATTGTTAATCGGAAAGCCGAGTTCCAATTCTAGCTGGGTTCGTTATATTCACTCAAACTCAAGTACCCTTGGGAAAGGAACACATCCACCTCTTCCTCATCCCCCAGTTATATGCCTTTTGGTAAGACATGTATCGCAAAAACATTATTAACGAAAAAAATATCTTACAATCTAAAAAATATTGTCTGGTTTTAAATAATCTGGAAAGGGCTGATAAACCATAAAAAATCAATTTGTTCAATTGGGAGCTTCTCGATGAATGCAGTTAAATTTGGCAAGTATTGTTTGGATTAAGCCTCAAAGTTCTCCACAATGGCCTAGTGCATTAAAAGCTGATTCATGAATTTTGTAACGTAGCAAATGTGAGTTCAATCCTTGGGTTAAGCAATGTGTACTTGGAGTCAGGGGAAACGTGCTTAGCATCTATTGAACAATACTAAATAAAACAAGATGTCCCTAGAGACAGTCTGTAGAATAATAATAACCCAACCTACAGATTAAATAAAGGCTTGAATTCTAAATTCCCTGAAGGTTAAGCGAATCAACAAACACCTGATGATGGTCCTGGGCACAACAGCCGAAATATTGGGATAACAAAAACAAGGGTGAGGATAATTTATGTAAATAAATTAACTCGGTTTTAGCGCTATGCTTTCATGAACTAGCTATCGTAAGCTTATCCCTGGCCCAGATTCAGATCCTGTTTACTACAAGAGTCAAATACAAAGTCATTATCGATTTAGAGAAAGAAGCTTACATTTTCCTAACCAAGCTTGGCAGGATATAAATATCTAGTCGTTTGGTGCGTGCGTTCCCATAATTAAGAAAGATTTTCAAGAAATTAGCAAAACATAACGAAAAAAAGATAAAAATGCAAGCATTCGGCTAACACTAAACTGGAAGAGAAGAAAAGAAAGATTAAATCCAGTTTGCAAAGCAATGGGGCCAATTACCTCTCTTCTGTGCGTCTGGCTCGTTTGATGAATGGGCCGTGAAAGTCCCGCCATTTGATGACAGGAACCTTTTTAAGAGTTGACAGGCGCGTAAACGCTGGTAGGTTGCATAATGGATGTCGAGCCAAGCGTACTCTTCACCTGCCTGCACCGACAGAATAATCGGTGCTTCAATGGTCAGATAACGAAATGCGAGGACTTGCATAGATAATTCCGTGTCCTTGGAACTTGCTAAGTTTATCACGAAGCAAGCTACATGGTAGCAAGGAGTTTGGATGCAAATCCGTAAATGCTTAACTTTAATGAAGTACGCACACCCATGTATACACACAAACACACACGCATACGCAGTTACACATACACACGCTCACACACACAAATATGTGTATGTGTCTGTGTGTGTGTCTGTGTATGTTTTATTTATTAATCACACATACAAAATTGCGCAGCTAAGAAAATTTCGAGGAATCTACGACGAGAGGGAATTCGTTTAAAGGCACAGTTCAGACCTTGCTTGATCGGCAAAAGTTTTTGTGGTCGAATGGCTCATAGCACTTCGGATCTAATGATGGTTTCCCTGTACCCAAGGAGACATAGATTCGAATACTGTCGGAGATCGCATATTTTTCTTTAGTAAGATTTCTCGAATATTCAAGCCGGTAGACGAAAGTTAATAAATATGCTGTTTAATAAATAACGAAGCGTCTTCTCAAATATGTGTATCCACTAAAAATAAAGTTTAAAGCGATTATTTATATATATATATATATATATATATATATATATATATATATATATATATATATATATATATATATATATAATCCAAATCCAAAAGAACAAAGAGTAAGATTTCAGTGGTCAAAACATTAATTTAAAACAGGGATCAATACAAAAGTAGAAATATATACTGATGTATATTTATCTGTGTGAGGACTGAGTAGTGAATTCGCTCCTCACTGGGTGCTCCATACTTCCGGCCTTGTGCCATATCTCAGCAGCGCTTAGAAAATCCCTATATTTATCTGTGTGTGTGTGTGTGTGTGTTTTTGTGTGTCTGTTTGTGTGTAAGCCATTATCAAACAGTTTTATGTATTAGTGGTTTTGTCATGTCGGTTTTATCATTTTTAAAATATCTCGTTTTCACGCATTATCTTTTTTTTTAATACCGCATTTACATTTTATGTTGTATGCTTATACAATTTATAGCTTATACGTATTCGTGAATTATACACCATGGGTCATTTTATTTTAACTGTTTTCAGATATAATATTAATTTTTTTAAAAATTTAACTTGATGACCTACCGAATTATTTTTTTCGGGGGGGGAGGGTATTTAAAAAATAGCTATAGATGCTCAAACTTGTTCTAACGTAACACTTAAACATTTAGACGTATAGAAATATTTATTTTTTCGACAACAGTTCGTCTTTTAACTAAAAGAAAATTAGTTTTACTTGCAAATAAATGGATTAGTAACGGTATCTGCCTGAGAATTTGTTTTGAGTTCGATATCCAATATGTGATACGGTTATCTAGTCCAACTGGGCTGCTATGTGGCATGTGTCCTACTATACGGCGGCGAATGTTGGACGGTCTTCTCAAAGATGAAGAAGAGACTCAAGGCAACGGAGTTAAGGATGCTAAGGATACATGGACTGAGCGTGTGAGCAACGATGAGGTTTTGGAGAGAATGCAAACAAGGAGGAAGGTTATACTTCAGGAAAAGGGAGCTGAAATTTCTGGGACACGCAATGAGAAAAATGAGGGTCTGAAGAATCTGATACTCACATAGAGGGAAAGAGTGACAAGGGAAAGCAACCCATGACATACCTGCCGAGATTAAGCAAGTGGATGACAGAAGGTGGTCTGGTGAGGGAGGTGGCAGAGAGATGAATCTTATTGAGAACTACAAGGGATAGAGGGAAGTGGAGAGCCATAATTGCCTACGTCCTGATGAGACAAGACTCATAAAAAGAAAGAAAACCCAATATCAGAATATTATATGACCCACTTCTCAAAATATAAAGAAATAACCCCTTTGGTTGTCCATGAATTTTGTATGGCAATAAAGTGCTCATTGACACATATTTTTTCAATATATCGCTTATTTTTACATATTCATCTTCGTTATATACTGTGTTTCCTCAGGACGTAGACGATTATGGCTTTCTACAATTTCCTGTTTTTGTAGCTCTTAATAATGTTTTTCCTTTTCATTATTTCTCCTAAAACTTGTTCTGCCATCCATTTACTTAAGTTCACTAAGTATGTTATGCGTTTTTTCCTGTCTCTCTGAGCCTCAAATTGTCCTGTGAGTATTATAATTTCCAAGCCTTTCCTACTCATCTTGTGTCCCAGAAATTTCAACTGTCTCTTACCGATATTAAATATATTTTCCTTTTTTCCATTTTCTCTGAAATATCTTCGTTGCTCACATATTCGCTCTATGGTATCCTCAGCATCTCTCTGTAGAACCATATTTCTGTTGCTTCATTGTCCAGCATTCACTTTCATATAGGATGACAGATATCACGTAACAGTTCAGTACACTTTTCTTTCTTTCTGACGAAAGTTTTTTTTTCAGTATGCCTTGTAAGTTCGCAATTCTGCTGTCTTTAACTTTGTTTACATTTTAAAAACAAAAAAAGGAGAAATATCAGATGTGAAAAACTGTAGTTTTTTTTTTAATGTGAGAAGTGATCAAAAGTAAAATATTTTCAAATAATTGAAACCACGTTTCCTGGGAGCTAGAAATCATTGTTAAACTGAAGGATACGTGTCATATTGTTAATGAGATCATGGCTTTTCTTTATTTTTTCGCCTTTGTATCATACTGGCAGAAATCTCTTGCGACTATATAAGTCTCCTTTGGTCCCAGTACAAATAATTCTAACGAGTAATTATATACATAAGGGGAGAGAGAGAGGGAGAACGAATATGATTTTTTTTTCTCTTAACTGGGCAATATTTCCGTCATGCAGACTTCAAAGTTTCGTGGTATTCAATAGATATGTGACTACTCTCCATTCTGAAGAGTAGTAACATGTCTATGAGATGACGAATCTTTGGAATCAATATGACAGAAATATTGCCCAATTAAAGGATTTTCTTTCCTATTATTTCTATTAACGCTTTATCCCTATCTCCGATATTGAGCACTCTACCACAAAGCCTGCATGATTTAAATTCCTTTCTATAAGCAAACAACCGAAAAATCTTCAATATTTATTTTATTTTATTTATACGTGCATTGAGCACATTTTAATACTACTGTTTCCTGGTCTAATTCAATTCTGACCAATAACTTTACACACACACACACGCGCGCGCGCGCATAAAGAGGAAACCCCATCAATGCTGGAATGAGCGATAGCTAGGGGCGAGAAAACTATTTTCCTGAAAAATTGTTTTAATCGAAAGGTTTTATGAATTTCTAGCGACTGGCTCCTCGGTCAATGAATTAAAAAAATGTTTCCATATAAGGCGACGACTAATATTACCGTTACTATTACCAGCGAAATAAATAGGAGGCGTTAAATTTAGAACGTCCTTCATAATGCAAGCTGCATATTCTTTTATCTTTACAACGTGCGTTTTTGTTTAAACCCTGTGGGTTCCCTGGGGAATATAGGGCCACAGACACACCACGTTTGTCGCTGTTGCTAGTATTTCCGTAACTCTCAGCTTTATACGCGCTGGAGTTGACAGTCTCCCAACTAGTTATGAATTTAGAATTGTATTTTCCTAGACCGCTTGCAAAACAACTGTATATATTGTTCGGTCTAGCTATTAACCCTTAGCTGGACAAATAAAATATGAGTTTATGTTTATATCGACATTAACATGCAAACCAGTAGTTAATCGATGTCGATTCTCGCCTTAATTTACTTAATTTTATGCGGTGTAATATTTAAGACGTATGACTCGCTAGATCAATTACGACTGAATGATGAGATCGATCCTCACTGACTGAACCATAGACTCGGCCTTGTGCCACATCTAAGCCACACTTTGAAAATCAGTCTAAACAAGTTTTTATTTTTTTATGTAATGAAATGTTTATTATTTAAATGCTAATAAGTCAAATAACCGTAAAATATCATAGATGGATTTTGCACTGCATAAATATATCATAAAGATCTCCCCACTTTTAATCGTTAAAAAATATCAATATTTTTCCATTCTGAAAATGTTGTTGTTTGAGGAAGGTGCAAAGAATGATGAGCTACAAATAATATTCCCCAAAATGTTCGATATTTTTTTTTACTAAGGGACCTGTCATTTTAAGTAGTACCCTGTTTAATTTAAAGAAACAAAACATATGAGCACATGCAGGATATCCTTAACTTTATATAGATATTAAGCATATTTTTCTGCACAGGGTTATTAATATGGCGTGTCAATTGGGGATCGAAATCACAAAAAGAATATTAATCCACAAGAGCCTCGGTTGATTAATCTGGTACGACAACAGCGCAGAAATACGTCCGGTATGGAATTTACGATTTTTTTCTGAATGCTACGGCAAATGTCTTTCCAAAAATTGTCACAGCAACCAAATTTTAGTGAAAGACATTATTGCTGGAAAGTTTGTGTTCATTCAGTATTTTTTTTTTTTTCATATAAAAAAAAATTAAAATGTTATCTAACTTGAATATCAATCTTCCCGGTTTATTTCTTTAAACCGGTTGTAAGTATGAATCTTTTCAATTATTAAACAGCCTAACCATAAAACTATATATGAAATTTCGTATAGTTTAGTAAATTCACATTTTCAGTCATATATAAAATCTATTTTGAAAGAAACTGGAACAATAGCAACCTCATTCTTTCACTCAAAATATTACCTGGCTTTATCCTTACAAGATTCAAATTAAACTAAAAATGGAGTGTTTTATTTTTGCTGTTACTTCACCCAATACATGTCTTAACGTTGAGCGTTGTAGATGTCTGTATGTGAGGTAAAATGAGGAATTAAGATGTGCACATCACGAAGACGTATCGGTTCACTCTGGACTTGATAAGATTATAATCCTCAGGGAAACATAATTTTGGGTGTCTGCTCCACAAAGTAACCCTTTCGTGGGAAGAAACTGTCTGGGTGTAACTTAATTCTCATCAAAGGAACACGAAGCGAATGGACATGATTTTGTCACCAGGAACATGATATGGTGGGTCCTAGCTGTGATGGTCTGAGCTGAACGTGACTCGTATAAACATCTGCCATAGACGATGTGATATCTCTGATGGAGCTACACTATTTCGATCGTGGGTAGAGGCAAAAAAAATCGTTATTTCAGTGAGATTCTTCTCAATGCTGAAACATTTTACTCAAATACAATAGATAGATACAGGGTTGCAAACTTATCGTTACTTTATCGCTAACTGCATGCAAAATAGTTATCGTTTCCACCAATTTATAACTTTCCAGCTTGGAGACGCCATTCCATTTCCACGGAGTCGAATCAAACTCATTTCTCCCGTGTTCTATTTAAGCCTCCTCTATAATTGACACATTTTTTAATAGACACACGCATGGTTATTTCCCTGAACACTTCAATCTTATTTGTCATCATTCTATTTTCATAACAGTCACTTTCTATCTCCTTGTGTCCCATTCATATCACGCAGCTCATTCATCATTACCATTGTGACTATAAATGTTTACATTGAGTGCCTCTCGCTCCTTTATCGGTGTAATCAAATAATAAAATAAAATTCTGTACAAAATGATGTGTTTGAATTTTCCATATCCCATTCAAATTTTTTTTCCACATGGTTAAAATTTTTCACTCGGGTCTTATATATGAATGATTTTTATTCGGCCCTTCATGTAATGGTTAAAAATCTTTTCTAGCTAAATCAACTACGACTGCGTAGCGTGTTCGGTCCTCACTGGGTGCCCCATATTTACGATTTTGTATCACATCTCAGCTACGCTTAGAAAATCACCAACAAGAGCAATTAGTAACTCATGACTAACTGTATAGCTAATACAATTAGCTACTTATCCCAGAATGTGTAAAATGCTTCTACCATTCGTCAAGAATTAACTGATCCTTGTTTTATAAATTAATTTCCTATCAAATCAATGGATCATGGTTAACTATAAATCTGGTCCATATAAAATTCTTTCTGTATTGTAACAGTATAACTTTCTGGTAAAATATACTAAAATATTTTAAAATTTTAAAATCTCAAAATATTGACAAGATTTTAACGAAGCAACTTAGAAAACGTGGCGATATTAATTCTTCCGTCGATGGAAATATGCTTAAATGAAGCTTGAAGTCAAGTTCTGAGACGTTTATCATCACAACTAGAATTTAGACATGGACACTTGTTTGAAGCTTATCTTACAGCGTGTCGTAAAATTTTAAAAATTAAAATCTTAAAAAAGAATAAGTGATAAGATAAATATAAAGCAAAACTGTTTGTTATTCATAAACTCAGGTTAATTGTTTTATTCAGTGGCTTTAACCGGAAATTCACTTCAAATTATCTTCTCTTACATTTTCCGGTTGTAGAAATCTGTTCCGGTTTCTTTCTTTCCTGTCAAGGAAAATCTGCAAAATAGGTAATTGATATCTTCTGTCACCTTGAAACATCTTTTTTATTGGTCTTTATTCTCAGTAACATTTTTTTCATTCTCCTTCAGTCAATTGTCTTTCATCTTCAGTAACGCCTTGCACCTGTGCGGCTTTATTGCTTTGATTACTGTGAAATGATTTTTTAAAAATGGTTTGTAAAATTATGCTTCACAGTTTAAATTTTAAGTAATACATTTATTCTGCACAATAAAATTTCATGACAAGGTGGTTTCTTCTTGAAACACAACGATCCAACGTGGAATTTCCATGAGTCCACTCGGTACTCTTAATCAATGTGTTTTAGTGTTTATACGATGTTTTTAACTAATATTCTAATAGCTGTTATTTAGTTTACAAGCCACGACTAAAGCACAGATAATTAATTTCGCTAAATCATATCATATTTCCTTGGATAAAATTGCTTTGATGTAGTTTCGTATGCAACATGTTATTTGGTGTTAAAACTTCCTGTCGAGTTATTTTTTGAAAATGGATCTCCTTGTGCACGATTGCAGTAGCATTCTGGCGGGTCTTTCAAATTGGGGCAGACTTTAAACTAACCAAATCAGGGCCAGTGACTACGACAGTTACTCAATCATTGAACTTACGTTAGGTTGGCCTTTGAAATTATTGAAAAGTACGTTAAGTGAAAAAACAAAACCAAGCCACCATGAAATCATGCGTTTCGCAATGGTAATGTCGTAATAATAATGATAGTAATAATAAAAGAAAACATAACGTAAATAGAAAACGAGCAGAATGCAAAGAAGACGAGAAGAGAGTAATGAAGAGGAGGAGGAGGAGGAAAAGATGATAAAATAGGTGAGGGGGGAAATGAAGAAAACAAAGTTGACGATGAGAAGAGGAGACGTAAAAGAAAGAAAAGAAGAAGTGAAAGAGGAATAAGAGGACGAGGAATAAACATCAAGAAGAGGGGGAAGACGAAAAAAGAAGAAGAGGAAGACGTAAAAGAGGAGAGGGAATAAAAGAAGAATCGAAGGAGAAACATATGAGGAGGTGGATGAGAAAAGTGAAGGTGACAGAAAGATAAGATTGGAAAGAGGGTGAAGATGAGAGTATGAGGAAGAGGAGGAAGAAGAATTAAAGGGAGAAAAAGAGAATTAAATGAAAAAGAGGAGGCAAATGACTAGAAAAGAGGGTGAAAAATGGCTGGAGAAACAGCCAAAATGAAGGTAAAACTGCATATAAATCAAATATAAATAATCTTAACGGAATTATCATCGTTGCTCTGGTGACGCCAGGTGACAGTGTCTTTGCCATGCCAATAACGGACAGTTCTATTATTTTTACTGGAAACTGGAAAACCTACTACGAGAATAGCTCAGTACAAAATATTCAAATTTGAAAATTTTCATATGATAGCACATATTAAAATACACTTTTTCTTTCTCTATATAAACTGGTATTAATAAAAACGATATTATAGGAAAATATGGAATAATCGTACTAAAACTAAAATAGAAAATATATAAAACCCACCTGTGTAGAGACGGTGATAAAAGCTGTAATTCAGATAATAAGTTAATGGTGGAAGTCAGCTCAGAAGGAAAGTGGGTAGGAAAGGTGGAACACTGAGAACTATGCAAACGACTGGGATTAGAAAATGCAGATCAATGCCATAAACACAAACAAGGATATGTTTTTAAGAACAGTAAACATTTTAACATTTAAACAATTCAGCCAGAAAGAAAGGAATCACCCCTGTCCTCGCAGACAATTTATTCAGTATAGAAGTCCAGTAACCTTTATAAAATTAGCTCTAGAGAATGAATAATCTAAAATATTAGTTGGGCGATTAAACTTGCTACAATATAAATAGAAACTTTATATGGATCAAACCACTAAAAATAAAATACAAACTCTCTGTCTACGTGAGTCCTGGGTATAACGATAAGCTATATCCGGCAAGACCTCTAATCTAATACGTTTTTATAAAAAAGAAAAATGACTCCAATACATATTTATAGCAAAATGGCCGGCATTTCCTTTTATCTGTAGCTGAAGGCATACAATTGCTTTCAAAACATATTTAGATGACGCCATATAATTATTTTCATTATTGGATTTCGGCATTAAATAACGCATAGAGGTGTTAATATACCGTTAAACAAAATCAACCAAACCCTCTTTACGAAAAAATCAAAAAATCTTTTTTTTTTTTGTAAATAGTAGAAAAAGCATCATATAAAATATATTTCTTAAAGTGGTACATTTACTGACTAATCGTTCACTCGGACAAATATGTGTGGCCATTGGGAGCTCTGGATAAAGGTTATAACTTTGATGTCTGGAATGATGCACCTTAGGGTGGACGAGCATCAACCATCTCCTAAATCTCTGACGAGATGGATCCAAGTTGCCAGGTCGCCGCAAACAGTATCAGCTGGTGGACTACACTCATGTGTGGGGTTGGTGTTAACTCGGTACCACTGGGCGAAAGACCCTCCTCAACGCAGGTCATTGGCCAGAGCGGTAATGTTCCTCAGACGACACGACAACGACCACGTGTTCATAAGAGATCCGAGCCACTTAATAAGAGGATATGGGCTGTGATCTAACCTGTATAGAGATGGGCTCCGCCAGGTTAAAAGCACCCTAGACACGCCGCATAATAGCAGACAATAAACCATTCGCGGAGACCCAGGCTCTGGTACATAATCCCGACTGATGAAGAAGAATAGTGGATATTTCAGCAGGTCGATGACCAAACGGGAGTCAGGGTAAGAAGAAGAAGAAGAAGAAGAAGAAGAAGAAGAAGAAGAAGAAAAAGAAGAAGAAGAAGAAGAAATCATGCAAATGCTATGATTTTATTAATTATATTAACAGTCAGACGGATATCCGCATCTTGATTATTAACACAACGTTTTGTCTTCTCCTCTTTTTTCCAGTTAACCTTCAGCGAATTCAGTTTTCAGTCTATAATTAAAAAAAAAAGTCATCCACAAATAAAATTGCCATTGTGGAAATACAGGATTTTACAATTAATTAGGTATTTTAAAGTTTGTTTAACTGTAGCTTTTTTTTAAAAAAAAACTATTTCTTTTTACTTCAGATATGTAAAAATATATTTGTTTACAGTAGGTAGTCATGTCGATATTGACTTAGTTTTTGCCATATGTGAAGAACGCCTGATTAAATTTACAATAGTCACATGGGACAGCTTAAGTAGAGAAGATCAAAATGAATAGATTCTAAAATATTGGTAAAAGTATGTTCCTACTCTTTAAAAACTGTCATTGGGGAAACATTGTAATCATATACAGAGTAAATGAATAGTAGATCATTTTCTTTATTTTATAGTTCCTTTAACACAATTTCCAAGAGTCATTCAAAGTATGGAGTAACTAAATGACGTAAAGGTGGAAATGGAAGAAATGGATATCATAGGGATATCTAGGATAGATAATGATTCATACTCGACTTGAAGAAATTAAGACCGTAGAGATCTACTCTTGGAAATCTCTTTCACACTGTAATATTTCTATGTAAAAATAAGTAACTGAGAGGATCTTTCCCCTTGAAAGAATGAGGGTGAGTCGGACCTGTGGACCGGAGATAACTGTGAAAGTTTGAACTAGTGGTACTAAGGAGTTGTAACATATAACATTGAAATAGCGAGGTGGCTAGTAAAGTTTAGTCTGTGGGTAAGGAGTTGAAGGATGTAAAAATAATCTACGACACACAACGTTGCATAAACGCTTTTGAAATTTGTCAAGGTCATTAGGATTTGGAACAAATTAATAATCCAACACTAAATAAATGTTTATCAGCATTTATGCCTCATCATCTGAAAAAAAAAAGAACAAACAATTCAACCTCATCGAAGTGAAAATAAACCTTAGGTTTGTCTATCGTCCGATTGACATTTGTTCCCGATATTTCGAAGAGGAGAGGCTTCAATTTCTAGTTGCTGATAAAATATGTTCCAAACTATAACCCATTTCTCACAGAGGAAACGGCACTCTCGCTGATCTATCGCGATTTCAATGGAAAGTGATCCAACGAACTACATTCCATAATTCTATGAATTCTAACCGTCACGGCGAAGACCACCATGCTACGCACATTGTAGAACCAGCCCCATTCCTTTTGTATTTCATTAGTGAGATGTAAATTTCCCTCGGGAAACTTCTTCCCATGAACATGTTTCCCCGATCACTAAAGCATTAAACATAAGTCTTAACAATAATCATCCCCATATATGCGCATAAACTGTGCCTCTTACTCTATAACACTCTACTTCAAATGATACTCAGGTGTTGAACAGGGTAAAAACCATTATATAGAAAAGGAATACACCTGGAATTGGACTGTGTGAGAACTTTGCTAGACATAGCGTCACTACAAGGACCCGTAATGATTCATCAATATCACCAAGGTTTCATTAAAGAAGTGGGTTCTTTTTTTTCTATAGATCACATTTTCGCAATTAAATTTTGCTCGCCCATAACCAAATTACATGTGATAAAAAGTACATTTAAAATTAAAAAAAAAAACTAATAGTTCGTTAAATATAATATATAATGCAAATATCTTATGATAAAAGTACACAAATTTAATGATAGGTATGAGCTTGTTTTTGACGAGCAATCTCCATTATATTAGGCCTAATTTGAGATAAACACATTCTCATCTCCTCAACAACACAAACAAACTTTTCTTTTTTTTGTGGGGAGTGATATTTGTTAGAACTGAAACGGCAAAAGAAGGTTCATATATAGAGTTAAAGGGTGATAACTGCGGATTCGAAGTCAGAACATTATCATTTATATATACTTTATACTTGATATAATGCAAAAATATAACAATGATAAAATCTGTCAATAATTATTTATAACTATTTATACAGGGATTCTTGCATGTAATTACAACTATTACATAATAATATTTTAATTTTGAAATCATATATATTTTTGGCATATTATTTTTTGAAGTTGTTTCTAAATGTTTAATTGTCTTTCAATCATTCCGCCTCATCTGCTATCCTCTTCCGCCGCAACTATGTGGCACCCGGCACCTATGAGGTTTGGGAAGTACAGCATTAAATTAATACAAGCTTTACAATTCATCCAGATATTTTATAGATCTATAAGTTTCATCTACGTAAATAAATAATGATCAAAATCGAAGAAGAAACGAGAAACAGAAAACAAATCACTTTAATTTACTGACTTAGAATTTTTCTTTTCTCTCCGTAAAATTTTATGTAGTTATTCAGGACGGAAAACGGTGTAATTGAAACATATGGTGATTTCTTTTTTTATTTTAAGATGAAATCTGAGTAGAGTTTTACTGCAAAACGATAAACCACTTATCTCTGTTTGTTCTGTACACTTTCTCTGTATTTAGCAGCGAGAGAAATGCACAGTGGCCAAAAAGTACAACCGGAAAAGTATTTACAAAGACAAAATGGTCAAAAACAGTTTACTAAGTTAGGTAAGATATTTTAGATTATAGTAGGCAGAATACAGCAAATTCTGTGGAAAATTTGCGCGTGTTACTTTGATACCAAGAAAGTAAGTTTTCTGATACATCCGTCTAATTATCGGTTTGCATTTAAATAAATATTGTCAGAACCAGGTTTGTCTACTAGACAAGAACACACTGAGATAGATAGATACAGAGAGAGAGAGAGAGAGAGAGAGAGAGAGAGAGAGAGAGAGAGAGAGATAAGAACAGACTGAGATAGATAGATAGATAGATAACATAGATAGATAGATAACAGACTGAGATATAGAGACAGATAAATAAGAACAAACATTTCTAGATATATAAATATGAATATACATAGCTAAATAGACCGATATGAACAGACTAACTCGTATTGGAGACTATTTTTCTAAAAATGTAAAATGCTATTTTCCAACGTACCTGAATTGCAATACACACACATGCACGAACGCACGCACGCACGCACACACACACACACACACACACACACACACACACACACACACACACACACTTAAATTAATACTCTAGTGTCCAATAATCGGCACTATATGGGTTTTGATCCTCACGGGGAACCAATTATTATCACCTTCTGTTAGACTACGCTTAGGTTAATAAATAATTATATATGTCAGTCTATTTGAATCAGTTCTTCAACATATTTAACTCTGATTGAGACGAATTGGTTTCGCATACATTCTCTTAAACCTTATTCTTTTTCACATGAAGTCTAAGATAAAAGAAAAAAAAACCTGTAAGCATTTGGCTTTGACTATCAAGTTATAATCTCCAGTATTCAAATGCAGTATCAGGGACAGCAATGGATGACGGTGGAGTAATGGATAGCGGCTTGGATTGAGGAATCCGGGAGCTGAGTTCGAATTCCAGTCGAATCCATTACATTCACTTACGTGATAATACCCTTGGAAAAGTATGAATCCTCTTCGGCTCCCCCAGCTATGGGTAAATAGCAGGACAGACCGGGTTATATAGCCTTGGATGACAACTGATCTACCGCAGAAAGAAAAGGCAACTTGTTGCAGGAAAAAAAATCTGACTCATCAGTCATGCATTCAAAATCAATCCACAAATGCTTTTCGAGATACAGCTCTAGATTCTTGCATAATGAAATTCCGGCTTTGCAAGGATTCTTGGCTTAAGTGCCATTTTAGGTTAGCAAAAAGAAAAGAGAGAAAAAACACGTTGGAAGCACTAATAAAATTACCTGGTTGACCTGCTTTCGGATTTGATTTGGTTTGTTTTACGGCGTATCAACCTCAATGGGCTATTTAATGAAGACAAGATTTTTTATTGCTGATAATATTTTTCCTCCAAAAATGTATTGCTGGTAATATTTTTTTTAATGTATTGCCGGTAATAACGTTTTACAAATATATATTGCTCGTGCTAAAACCTATTTTTACACTTTCATAGTGTTTTGACCCCAGTTTGGGGGTTAACTATTTTTCCGCAGCTGGGACCCTAACATGTGATACCACCCCAAGTCAGGGTAAACCAGGGAACACCAACAATTAAGAGGTGCTTCCACACTCCTCAAAACCTCCTGATCAGAGGTCTTGCTATCGGATGTAGTTTATTGTCTTGCCCAGGACGGTCGGATTTGGTGAAGTTTCTCTAAGGAACTTCATTTTAAAATAACATGACCTAAAGTGGACTAATATTTAAAGTATGTCGCCACAAAAATGAAAAGTCAAAGTGCGATAACAGATGTGAAAATTAGAAATTAAGATCGTTGTTTCTATAATTTTTATGCAAGGCTCAAGAAAATATTTGATCTAAATATTCCAGAAATGACATCACAACGGCACATGTCTTCCAACCAAAATGCAACTAAACTGCAATGTCGCAAGGACATTCCGTATTCGATGGAGTCGCTAGCGTCGACAAGAAACACGGCGCATAGATGGTGAAACGGGAGTTTAATTAGACATGCGATGTATATCTGGTCACTCGTATTCGAGGATACCAGTCTTTTAGGGCGGCAAACCAATCCGTATTGCAGACGCTTGCTCAGGCGCATTTGTATTTATTCAAAACCCACAGAGCGCACCTGTGGTTTATACTGCAACTACGCTGAGGAGACTTTGGTTACAGTTTCTGCGAAAGAGCGTGTTATCTTGCGTGATCAACAAGGCCAGCACGTTCAATCCCTCCGCCACGATGTCTTGTGACTTCGTGCTACCACAGCTATTGATGGGCCCAAGTGTTCCATCTATACAATTTAACTCACAAGGCTTGGGTAAACCCGTGGTATGGTTTCCAGGCATTTTACAAAGGTGCCGCTGGGATCGACCCCTCCAGTCCGATAACATTAGGAAATCTCCTTCCTGACAAATCGACCATGGTGAGATACGAAACCCGGGTCTCATGGTCAATGCGGACGTTCTAACCACTCGGTCACGTGCCCGTAGATATGTGATAGAACTCAGCTAAATAGTATTTGGAACTGACTGCGGCCAAGTTCCAGAGGTGCTTCAGGGTTCCTTCTAACGCTGTGGATGCTAGCGTTGATTCAAAACAAAGAATACTAGAGGTATGCTTCAAAACAGAGCGAAATTCATTAATTGTAATTCTGTCTTGCAACCATGATCAACTTATCGAGGTATAATTGTCAGCTTTCTAGCCTTGTGGCTCATTAGTAACGAGGTGTGTCCTCACTTTCTAATACTATTGTTTCCTCAAAACAAGGCTCAAAATCCACTGTTACTATTTGAGTGTAAGTGTGTAAAAAAGAGGAAGTAAGAAATACATATTATGTAGATATGTAGGATAGAGTGTCCTCGACTTGAAAAGGTTAAATCGTAGTGATTGGGCAAGCAACCTCTCAGGAGTCTCTTCCACAAAGTTACAATTCTGGGGAAGAGTCTACCTGAATTGAATTCTTCCTACAGACCGAATACAAAGGGAATTTTGACGGGTCCTAGCCAGGATGTTATGGAATGCTGGCGCTAAGGAATGCAACTCGTCTAAACATTTGCCAATATAATTAGTATAGAATACCTTGAAGTTAGCAAAGTTTCGTCTGTCGGAAAGTGGATTTTAGGCTGAAAATAATTCATTATCCACAAGGCGGCGTAAACTTTTGAACTCTGCAAGGCTGAACAGAGAGGAGTGGTGAATTCGAGTCAAAATTAAGCTATGTTTAATAAATAACCAAAACATACCATTATTACAAATGCCTCTGTGGAGTGTGCTTGTCTCTGTACGAAATCCTTTTTATTAATAGATATATTTCTAGACAAAATGAATAGTAGAATAGAGAGGAAAATAATCCTTGCATTGATATTAATCAGTGGAAATATTAGCAGCCCACATTTTTACTAAGATCAACAAGAATATATTAAAGCTAGTAACGGTATTTTGAGAAGACTGTCTCTCTTTCTTGAAGGTCTTCACTTTTCTGTATTTCCTCACCGTCCAGAGTTTTGCTTCTCCGCCATTTTTATGAACTGACCATAAATTTAAACTTCAGCTACATTTCCAGTCTCAATGAATGCGTAATTTTTATCGTAATAAATTTTATCTTTCGAGTCTAAAAGGATTTGCAAAAAAAAAATAAATAAATAAAAATGTATCACTTGTTTTCGTAAGAAAACTTAATGCATTTCTGCTTCGAATGGAATAAATTATTATTCTTTGGGGCTCTCTATCATATAGAGGCATGAAAAATGTATTTCGGGTTATTTTTCCTCACATCATTTTTGTATTTTCATGGCTGGATACACACACGTGTGTACACACACATGCGTGCGTACACACACACACGCACACGCACACGACACAAACGCACACACATGAAACAAACAGACAAACGCACACACTCACTCAAATGCACAAAGAATTACAGACACAAACACACAATCATACATACACGCACATGTCTACAAACACGCACACATGAATAAACATACGTATAGACACATCCAAACATACAGAAGACTGCACACACACACGCGCGCGTACACATAAAAACACCTGCACACACAAACAACACACACACACACACACACACTGTGCAGACATATAGACTCAAAGAATTAAGCACACGCAGAGAAACACCTACACATACACTCAGTGTATTTCTCAAAGGTTTGAAAAAGTTTACCAGAAATGAATTAATTTCCAACTTAGTTTCTACGGTCTTCATCGAAATCGTTCCCATGTTTACAACAATCCTACAGAATTTTTTTCCCCCAGTCATGCCACCGAAATACACAGACTATCAGGCCCTCCATATACACCTTTTCATTATTAATTGTGAAGTGACACAATTTATTTTTAAAACGTATAATGAAACGTTTTCAAGGTACTTTCTCTGCTGTTTGAATTTAGAGTTATCCTTCTGTGTTACCACTCAAGGCTGGATAGCCTCGTTTACCTTGCTATTTAAAACATGACTGAAATCAGAAGTATTGCATTTATGAAGGTCATGGTTTGAACTATGCCCGACGACTGCAACTTTTGTGTCGGTAACATTGTTACTCTGAACGCGAATCCTTTAAAAGACTGCGGCAACATTTCAGACGAAATTAATTTCGTGGGCTTCCAGAATTCTTCCTATATTTTTTTTTATTGTTTCGTATATAGTGAATTGTTTATTGTTATGCATTTCGAATTAGATTCTTTTTTATTTCCTTGTCTGGAGGAATCTTGAGTTTTTTTTTCTTTCGTTTTTTATCTTCTTTTTCTTTTTTTAATAACAACTCAGACTTAATTATATACTTTTCCTCTTTTTTTCTTTTTTATTTCTTTCGTTCTCTCTCATTCTCTTTCAGCTTTTGTTTTTATATATATATATATATATATATATATATATATATATATATATATATATATATATAATGGAATCTCCCATCGGTTTCGATGTATGAGGGCCTAACAACTTAACTGATTCAGTTAGGAAATTTTGTGCGAAAATCTTATGTGGCACTTAAGACCCGCTAGTGATTTACAAAGGCGAGCACATATGGAGCAAGAGTAAGAATTGTGGGATGAGATCACTGTTAGATTGGCTGAACTTTTAGATCTTGCTCTCGCTTCTTGAAGACGATTCAGACAAGCTGTTTGAAAATTTATGAGACTACTAAAATTCGTTGATCTCCATTCTACCCGCTCCAAGGCTAAGCACTCGAGGGAGTTATGAGGTATATTGACAGCTGACAAGTTGCTCTTCAGCTTCTCTTTGTACCTTAGCCAAGGATTCTGCTCAAGCCTTCACCACTTTTAATAAAATCACTTGTGCGAGTTTTTAGGT